TATTATAATTATTAAAGAAGTAAATAATTATTATTAATTTAACTAGTTTAGTTAAATTACTTATAATATCACCTGTTACTAAGAAAGTAATTATTATATAAAAGATTATAATAGTACTAGATATTAGAAAGAAGTAATTAATTCTTATTTATATAAATAATAAGTTAGTGATAAAGAATATTATAAAGTAAGAATATTTATAAATAATTAAGTAGATTAATAACTGCTATCTAGAAATCAAGAATCTTTATTATAAGAAAGTTATTAAATTATTATATATTAATAATAAAGTGAACCCTGTGAATAGACTTACTAAACTATTAAAAAATAATAATTTTCATGTGTTTTAAATAATAATATATATTATAAAGATAAAAAAGGACTAAATTTAATAAAAAACACTATATTTTAATAGAATTAACTAGATTATATTAAAGGAAAGGAATCACAAACAAGAGGCCGTGTTAAAAGGATTATTTGTTTGTAGGTTCACATGACATAGCTTAGGTATAAGCGAGCTCATCATCGCTTTCCTTTCATAGAATCAACGATCTTTACCATATCATCTTCATCAATTTTATCAGATGGTTAGCTGTTCAATGATTTATTAGTATATCGCTGACGATATATAGTGAATAGGGCTTTGGCCAGAACAGAGACGGAAGTTCGAAACGTGGAATCAAAGCTGGAAACGCAAGAATATAACACGATTTCAAACTGGATCTCGGATTTGGACCACGGACTTCAACTTCGTGATCATTTAAGCAGGCGGGCACCGAATACCGGTGGCTGGTTTCTTGAATCAGCGGAGTTCGACGAATGGTTGACCGAGCCGCAGCAACTCTTGTTTTGCCCCGGGATTCCAGGCGCAGGTAAAACCATGATTGCCTCTATTATGGTTGACCACTTACATCGTGTCTTCAAAAAGGAGAGAAATATTGGCATCGCGTTTGCTTTTCTTAGTTACCAAGCACAAATGTCTCACTTCGACCTACTTCGAGGGCTTCTAAAACAACTGATCCCGAACCCGGTTCCAGAAGAGGTGGTAGACCTCTACAAATATCATACCCAGAAAGGAACGCGCCCCCCCTTGGACGAGGTCTTCCACACATTGTGCACAATCATCAAGCGCTTCTCAAGGACCTTTATTGTTATTGATGGGTTGGACGAGATTCCAGTCATTGATGGAGTTCGGTCAAAGATCGTTACAGAGTTGTTCAACATCCAAGACACCGTTTGTGCGAATATTGCCGTAACTTCAAGGCCGATCTCTGGAATTGTGAAGAGCTTTGAAGGAAGAAACAGTATTCGGCGCGACATACGTGCCACCGATAACGACGTGCGCAGATTCATCAATAGTGAGATTCTGACGTTCGAGACTTGGATTCGGGAAGCAGATGCTTTGGAACGGAATATAACCGACACAGTTATGAGGGCAACCGATGGAATGCAAGTAGAATAATCCAAACCATATCAAGATTATACTGATGATACTAATAGGTTTTTACTCGCGCGATTACATCTTAATACCTTGCGTCAAGAAACAACCGTCGCAAATGTCTCAAAAACGCTAGAAGATCTGCCAGCCGGTTCCCTGGCCTACAACGACGCATATGGGAATATTATGACGAGAATCACAAATCAGCCCGGAAACTATAGAAAGCTTGCACTCCAGGTGCTATCATGGATCACCCGATCGCACAGGCCAATTCGGGTTCCAGAGCTACAGCACGCGCTTGCGGTTTCAGATGGTTCATCGGAGCCCGATGAGCAAAACATCCCACATTTGTCCCTGGTGGTTGAGGTGTGTGCTGGGTTGGTCACTTGCAGCGAAAATCTTGCGACTATTCAGTTGGTCCATTACACGGCATCAGAGTACTTCGAGAAAAACTGGTCATTATGGTTCCCCGAAGCAAATCAATACATGGCCACAGTCTTAATCACCTACTTGAGCTATGACCGATTTTCTGTCCCGTTTGCTCAGACTTGGGGAGAATACCACCAACAGCTGGAATGCAATCCTCTTTACGGTTATGCCGCCCGTCATTGGGGTGAGCATGCAAGGGAAGGATACCCCCAAAATAGAGGACTAGTCGCTGGATTTCTGCGAAACGCTATGAACTTGCTCAACACGGTTCACGTGTTGACCTACTCAGATCAGTTCCCGATTGGATTTTTTCCTATACCAGAGCGCGTAACAGGCCTCCATGTCGCAGCATATTTTGGGTTTCTCGACCAAATTAAGGAACTGATCAGAGAAGGAGCAGACCCGCGCGTGGCAGACTGGTCTGGGCAGACTGCCCTACACTGGGCAGTAAAAAATGGGCAGCGGCAGGCAGTCAAAGTTCTATACAGTGAGGGGATTGATGTTAATGCACGAAACATCGAGTTCGAAAGTCCCTTGCATTTCGCTGCCTTCCAGGCTAGCGAAGAGTTGGTGAGATTCCTCGTCAGCCTAGGATCACAAATTGAAACTAGAAATAGTGCGGGCGAAACGCCCCTTCTTGTTGCTGCTAGGAGTGCAAATCTAGGAGCCCTGAAAGGTCTTCTTGACAGTGCCGCAAATCCAAATGCCTCAGACGATATGGATCGGAATGCATTGCATGTGACCATAACTAGCTCCAAAAAAGAGTGTACCGAGGTCGTGCAGTTGCTCCTCTTATATGGTGTCGATTTTCGCCAGTGTGACGCAGACAATATGACGCCTCTTCACTACGCGGTTGCCGAAGGAAACGGTAGACTCGTCGACCTACTTCTTGAAGCAGGTGCTGACGTCAACAGGGGGGTAGCAAGAAAGTTTGACAAGAACACCACCGACCCCATCTGTACAAAGGCATGCCTACCATCTATTGCATTAAAAGCAAATGATGATAACCCCGCTGGTCTTACGCCACTCCATTTTGCAGCTTGCGCGGGGAATCGTAGGATGACAGAGTATCTTTTGAGAAAAGGTGCTAATCCGAACGCACGATGTTATTGTCTAGACACGCCATTACACGTTGCCATCCGCAGGGGCCTTCTGGATGAACAAAGAGACAGCAAGACATCAATGCACCAAATCTTACTACCTATACATGATGCTTGGACCGATGACAGGTGGCACGTCGAAGTTGTGCGTGATATTATCTCGGATTACGAATCAGAGGAGGCGGACGAGATCATGAATTATGTCGAGGAGCAGCGGTTGGGCGTCGTCAATGCCCTACTTGAAAGCCCCAGAATTGAAGTGGATCCCGAAAACGTCCACCGCGACCGTCCCCTGCATCTTGTGAGATTTAATGATCCCAGTGCAACCGTTATTGTGTCTAAAATACTTGGTATGGGGGCGGATGTTTCCGCCCGTAATGACAAGGGCAAGTCCATTTTGCATCTTGCCTGCGCAGCAAACGCCGATTCTATAGTCGATGAATTGCTGGATAGAGGCTGTTCTATTGACACTACCGACTATCAAGGCCATAATGCTCTACATTCTGCCGTTCGAGCGGGACGCTGTGAAACTGTCAAATCAATATTTAACAGAGACGAAGGCTCGGCCAGAAGTTACTGCCTTGGCGTGGACGCCAAAGGCCGCACTCTACTACATCATTACCTGCAGGGTCACTTTGCTTGGAGTGACATGGTGGTTCTATTATTGTCATACGGTTCCAAGGTGGATCGTACTGACAACAACGAGCACACCCCACTAAGCACCTTTCTAAGCAAATTCACGTTAGGGGATCGAGTGGAAACTTGTCAGCTTCTCCTGGAGCATGGTGCTAATGCTCTTTGGACTGGTCCTGACGGCAGGAACCTAGCACATCTCGCAGCCTGCCACCACACAATGGAGCCTGGCGTTTTGGAAGCCTTGTCTAACTACGGCCTCGATCTCTCAGCGAAGGACAAAGGCGGGAAAAGCATTGTACACCATGGGGCCATTAGCGGATCATTAAGTTTGGAGGCTACGACATTTCTTTATGAAAGAAACATACTAAATCTGCATGACACAGATGAAAGTGGAAAATCTCCCCTTGATTATGCATTGCAAGAAGCTAATAAAGAGAGATCATCATTTCAGTTTGCCAGTAGCAGATGGAAGCGGACTTTGGAGTCCTTGCAGAGCTTTTGTTGACACCGTTGTGCTTGATAGGCGAGCCCTTTCCCTGAGAAATAATGTATAGTCGGCTCCTGTTGATTTGACCCCTAATCAATTTCCTTCATTGACAGCCGAACCAAATATCAACATGTAGGGGCTTTATGTCAGGTATCAAAAGGGCAGACAGTCTACGTTTTGTTTTTGGGTGCATTAGGCTAGTATAAAAATCATGTTTGCAAGATCCTTGATCCCCCTAACACAAGCTTAGAGTAAGTAGTATACCTACTGTACAATTGGACAAACTCATCTCCACCCCGTAATCTGTTAAATTCCCGTCACCTTGCCTCCTCGGTAGCAAAACTGAAGGCATGCACACTTCCTCGTGGCTGGAAAGTCGAGGAATTCTGGTGACTTTGCTGTCACTAGCCACTAACCCATCATCGGATGCGTTATCCCAATCACCACCTCCAGGTCTAAGTCAGGATTGTCAGCATATACTTCAAATAGACCAGAAATGATATGGAGTACTTACGTATGAATCAGAACCCGTGTTGAGCCCCCTGTGGGCTCTAACACTCCCCTTACGCGTCTAGGCGGAAGAAAAAAGGGGAGAAGAAGCTTATCTCTCATTCTCCGGCTGTCTGGCTATGCTAAATACATACTGAACACTAAGTACTGTAAAGGGAAGGAGCCGAGGAGCCAACAACCCGCTCTCTAGGTTGGACCACGAGTTCCATGTTTCCACCAATATTGATCATTCTCTCAGTTCCATCGAGCCCTCTTCAGGTAAAGATTCAAGCCTACTTCTCTGGACTCACCTCCCACCAGCCCATATAGACGACAGACCCGACGCTCACTGACCACTGAGCATATCTTTCTTATACATATATACTCTCCTCTGACATAAGACATAAGCAACGACTTGTTCAACACATACGACCATAGGGTGTGGAGAACAGGGCTTCCCGTCCGCTCAGCCGTACTTAAGCCACACGCCGGCCGGTTAGTAGTATGGTGGGTGACCACATGCGAATCCCGGCTGTTGTATGTTTTTCCTTTTTCTTTTTGTTATATTATGTCGGGATTAAAGACTACGATCAATTACCCAAAGCAACCTACAATAGGGTCATTACACCTTTTTGGTGTGGTGGTAAAAGTCAGACATATTATTTGTCTTCTGGTTATTGAGTTTAACTAGGGTTCACACGTAAATTAGACAGGCCGGAAGCCAAGTCGTGACAAAGAACTCAAGCAGCTTTCAGCAGAAACAGCCACCTCTTTATTTTCACCTTCTTTCCTCTTTGATCTCTCGAGAGCTACACAAAATAGACATGAAGTATGCAATTATATATTTTTCTCAAACATAGTGTCTGATCTGTTGCCAAACGTCTTCAATTACAATATATATATATATTTTATTTTTTATTTTACTTATTTTATTTTTTTTTAATTCAGGCGTTTATATTTGCCTCGGGCGTCCAATCGAACGAGCGGTCCAGATTCCAATTTCATAGCAGTAATCACACCGCATGTAATCGAGTTATACCTTCATGGATGACACCGGTGAGCGAGTTGTGCGCAGGGAATGTAGATGGCTCGTCCAGGAAGTAAAAAGGGCAATTTTTTCTTTCGAATTAATTCACATTCTGCCCCTGTGGCCCCTTGGATATAATCCGGCGCTTGCATCTCAGACCGCTGTTTTATACATGGAAGACATACCCAGCTTCGCCAAGCATGCAACAAAGGCGCATAACCTAGGAAATTTATTAGGTGGGTCATGCTGTGCCCACGGTATGTATGATCTGACTGTGGCTGGCTGGATACTGAAACCAAACGGTCATTAGACCCAGGCATGTTTGTAATCGTACGGCCTTGACACGTTCCATGTATGGTGGCCTGGCAGTTAAAGTGGCATATGCAATTACTTGTAGGTATGATGATGGCTACAGAGAATCTAATCATACTCCGTACATCAGCTATAACCACTACGTTGGTAAGGGAATTCCAGCGGTGCGGGAGGCTTTTCTGTTATCTCCAGGCCCAGGAATGACCGGAGACAACCGATAACGTCGAGTCTCGTTCCCCACATACCCGTGATACAACCCTGCACATTCTTCGAGAAAGTGGCGCGCCTGAGCTTCTTATAAGGTAGCCCTATCGTGTGTAACTTACCTTTTAGTCGTAACATCTGGAACATGATTGGATACCACACTCACAAGAGATCGAAGCCAAGCCCGAGGGAAGAAAACCCGAGTAAAAGACCCGCCTAATTGCCGCGAGGGTGATACTCATCCGCTAATTCCAGAACTCGTGTCTCTATTGGTGCGTTGTCGACGATCTTGTATGTGCTGATCCCAGGACCCCCCACCATCTATCTGCTTGCAGTTTCAAAAGGTTTAATGTGGAAGATGTCACTTTGCATCCGAACGAGGGCAAAAAGCAATCGATCAATGAGATCAGCACATGCAAGTACCACTCTACCAATAGAGAAGAAACACAACTGAAGGTATGTACGAAAACGAACAGTTGGGCATGGCTGCAGAGCGAATACTGCTATCTACCACCGTCTTTGCGGCGCGTGTCACTTGTAGTATGTAGTATAGTTGCCTTAAGACTGCAGCATAATGACGCATTATACAGGTACAGGATGGTGACCCCACAACCACTGTAGGTTCCTCCGCCATCAAAGAGGCTGGTCGTTTGCATCTCCTATTGTTATGTCACATGGAACACTAGGAGCATAAAAAGTGGCCCTGAGGTCGTCCAGTCCAACCCCAACAAATCTCCACCATCTCACTGCATTTCCTTTTGTATCAACTTTCCTGTCGCTCATCCATTCGCTGACCCTTTCCATTCAAGATGGCTCTAGACCAGAAGAACATCCAAGGTGACATCTGGTTGGTTCCATAACAACGGGCCGCGATATGGATATACAACTAACAATCACAGGCCGCGACTGCCCAAAAAAAGTGAAGTCTTCTTGTTTTTTGAGATCACCAATAGTGCCAAGTTTAAAGAGAAGCTCAGCGGATTTTCAAAACACCTTACCAGTGCCCACGACGCCCAGCAGATATTGAGTGAGATATCCCGGCGCAAAGCAAATGGGGAGCTTGGTCCCGACGACGTCATCGACGCCATGGCAGCGAATCTCGCATTTTCAGCCAAGGGTCTCAAGGAGGTGAGTTTTTCCATAAACTGAAGCTATACAGAAACTTATCATCGATGTACCCGTCCATTTAGCTGGGAAAAGAGGACCTGGGCGATGACGTATTTAAGAAAGGGATGTATAATGACATGGTGGTGGAGGGACTCGATAGAGAGGCAGAATGGCACGGTGAATTCAAGGGATCGCGTGGTGTGATCCATGGTGTCTTCATTATCGCCGCCAGTACTGAGCAAGCCGTTCAAAACTTCCTGATTAAAGTCTTGAACCCAACGTTCAAGAATGCCCCAGACCGCTCAGTCAAATATTTGTTTGCGCAGACTGGTGTAGTATTGGCGCATGAATGTGAACAGTGAGTGGATTCAACGTGCATTTCCATCGAGGTCCAGAACTACTCACTTATATTGACTCAATCTAGCTTCGGGTGGGCGGACGGCGTTTCCCAGCCGTTGATCAAGGGGTTGGATAAACCATCCTCGGAAAAGCTGGCGCCGCCACCTGTCAAGCCTGGGTAAGTAGATTGACACTTCAATTAAGAGCTGACCTGCTAACAATTTCACCCAGCATCATCATTGTTGGAGCGGAAGGTGATACCGCGAACCATCCCCCATGGGCCAAGGACGGTAGTTTCATGGTGTTCCGGAGATTGAAGCAGCTGGTCCCCGAATCCATCCAGTAATGTCCCATGACCTCTTGACTATCATTTGATCTTGTAATAACAGCTTGATTCGCAGATGGGTCACCGAGAGCTTTAAATCGCAAGCGACAAATGAAAAGGGTGAATTAATGATTGGAGCGTTATCGTGTCTGTCATCTCGACTTATGGGAAGATGGCGTGATGGTCAGCATACCCGTGCATATTTTCCCCTGGGATTCACTCACTAACCGAAGAAATTGGGATTTAGGCGTCTCTTTGGAGCAGAAGCCACATAGCGATGACGCTATGCATGACGAGGCAACGGTGGAAGGCGGCTTAAAGAAAGGTTCTGCGCATGTAGAGCTCATGAAGTCCAACAATTTTGATTTTCAGGATGTGCAATGGCAGGACAAATGTCCCTTCGCCTCTCATATCCGCAAAACGCGGCCTAGAGGAGATCGTCTGGACGAGAATGGTGATTTGGATGATACGCATGCCATTGTCCGCCGAGGGGTTCCATATGGACCAAAAACACAGAGAACAGAAACGCTATCGGGTATTTCCATGCATGATCGAGGGTTACTCTTCGTTTCTTACCAGAGTAATCTTCGCAACGGATTCCGGTACATGCAAAAGGGTAAGTTCACCGGCTACTACTCCTCATATCAGAATGGGTCAGATTTATAACATAATATTAGAATGGTCGAATAAAGTCTCTTACCCCGCTGGCAAGGACAAGAACTACGGTGGCGCGCAGCCAGGGTTGGACCCAATCATTGGCCAGTGGGCGGAGGGCGATGAACAAAACAACTATGCGAATATCCCCAGGCTTGATGACCCCCGAAAGCTTGAAAAGATCAAACTCGAGCGGATTGTCATTGCGGAGGGTGGCGAGTATTTTTTTACTCCTTCGTTCTCTGGTATCAAGGAGTTGTGCAAGTAACGATAATATCGAATCACAAGATAGATTTGGTCCACGGGTATCATGGGCTCATATATCAGAACACCGTTTCCCCCCAGTTGCCTTAACATACGAATTGGATTTTGCATGGTACTCTTAGAATAGGAGTCGTCTTCACGGTACATGATAACGCTGAGAAATTGAGCCAGCAACGATTCCGGCTGCTCCATATTCGCGGATGTAACTAAACTATATACACTTTCTGTGGACATATTCCACATAACAAGTTTAGTTTGGCATCGAACAAATGCACAAATCGCTGTTATATAGGAGTTATGAGGGTTCGGGGGTTGGAAATTTCGACAAGAAAAACTTGCTCTGCTGCCGGACATCGTGCGTCACTATACACATTAATGCTAACTTTTACAAGAACTTGTACTGATGCTCATTATATATTCTATTATAGCAATATAGATAAAAACTAGCTGGAATAATTAGTAGTATACTTATGTTACTTCTATTGTTATGAACAAATTCTACCAGAATTTAGGTATAAAATGTGTTCTTGTAGATCCTTGAGGAACTTGATAATAGGGAAGGGACTTCATACATAAGGATCAATGTTAGAAACCCCAGAAGTTGTCCTCGATTAACTCAAGCGAAACACCATATCGAGCACCTAGCTCCCTTAGCTCGTCCCTCACCCTCGGAGCCCATTCATCTATATCAATATCTATATAATTTAGAAGCAGAGTGATACCGCGCAAATGTGGCGTGCAGGTTTCCCAATCTTCTAGCCATGTTTGTATCAAGCCCAAGATGGCACGATCCTCCCATTCCCATACAGGCCAATCATGTCGCTCATCACCGAAAAACGTACCATCCTCGTTCTGCTGTTTCAAATTATCGCTGATGAATAGAAATTCAATATTCCTTGGAATCACATCCTGCAATCGCCTTGTTGTATCTTGCGCAAAACCCACCAAGAACACCCATGGAACCTCAAGCCTCTTAACCATGTCAAAATTGATAATTGCATCCAGCAAGCCTTGAGACTTTACAGCAGGGACAAATAGTTCATGAACGGTTCCACGTTGACAATCGGCTGTGATGGTCAAATCTGTTAGAGTCCCTCGAACATGAGATATCGCACCAGCAAGACGACCTAGATCGATGACAGGTGTAGTGAACTGATCTCTGATACCCTCATCGTAATAACAGTGATAGTGAAAGACTTTAAGGTTTCTGGTAACAGAGAGCAGTTGACCAAGATATATTTCCCGGATATTTGTCAAATGAAGTGATGTCAAATTCAATGGGTCCGGTAAGTGTCCTGTGGGCCAGGTAAATGTGACCGGGTTCTCAATTGAGGCTGACAAGTGTTGGATATTCGGTAGATAAAACAATGGCAGAACATCTGCTGTGTTCTTAATCTTTTTATCGCGTCCTTTATCCTCACATTCATGGAGGCGCAAAGAAACATCTTGGAGATGCTGGAAGTCGGGTAGCTTATAATCCATGGGCTTGAAGATAGACGATCGGAAAACCATACCAATCAATGTGCTATGTTGGATGAAAGTGTGGTCAAGATATAGACATCTCAGATTCAAGGGTTGCGCTAATAGGAGAGCAATAAAAGCATCCATCGTACCATTGCGCATCGCCTGTATCCAAAGATCGGCATACGGGACTCCAGTGCCCCGGATGAATGTAATGAATTCATCCAATTCAGCACCGACTGGAATTTTTGGAAATCTCCACGTCCAAGCGCAACTCCAGGAGAATTCACCATCCAGGTGAATATTTGTGATGTAAGGAGCCAGCTGAGGCTTGCATATAATCGTCCGCAAGAGTAGAGTGATTGGGGGAGGAGGGTGACCTTCTTTCCATGTCCACCGAATTTTTGAGTAAAGAAATGGCTCAGCGGCTGTGCAGAAATCCTTGTTGACAAGACATAGTACACGAAATTCAGCAGGTGATAATAACTTGAATATCAAGCACAAGATTTCAGCCGGGCAGGTATGAAAACCTGATAATGTTTGATGTTTCTAGTAATATTTTAGTAAGAGACTTGCATTATCCATATTAAGCACATACAGGTTCCATTATCAGTGCCGATACCAGTTAGAATTTAGGTCGCTGCCTTTTTTCATGTATGCATGCGAGAAGAAGAGTTGAAAATTAGTATGGGGAAATTCAAGTCATGGGAAGAAAAATGTGAAAAACAAGAAAGCGGTCTTAAAGAGCTTCAGATAAACAATCAAAAACCACCAGGTTTGTAGGTGGCTTTCATATTCCTCCGTCGCTGTTGATGGGTCTGCCACTACGAGTAACGTTTTGCCCCCCCCTCCCCACTTGACAATTTTCTAAGTCACTACTATTGAATCGCTTAAACGAGGCTCCCTGTTCAGCCTACCTGTTCTGGATCGCCGGTGGGGTCAATCTGTAAGGCTAAGCATCTTCTTATCCTATCATTTAGTAGCTGATGTCAATGCAAAGCAGTACTTTTTACAAGCCGCAAATCCTCACTTTCCTCGGCGGCTTGAAAACATGGCTAATAGCCGCATGAGTGTCTGTCAGTCTGCGCGAAGAAGCCGGAGAGTAATGCAGTTCTAGTCTATGGTTAGTTGTTAGTGCTTTTTCTTGGCCTAGGTCTGATCAGATACATGCAGGGTCAGCATTACGATAGGGCCCGGGAATAAGCAGCTAGAATAAGCAGAGGATCATCATTCCTGTTTGCCTGCGCCTTGGGAGAGGCTTCTTTTCTAACGTGAACCTATTGACAATTAGTACCTTGATGATTTGGCTGTTTCTTAAGATTCCAAGAATATGACATCTTAGCCACAAGCCAAAACTTTAACCAACTTTTGGTATAGGGTTTGACCTGACTGATATCCCCAACATTGCATAGTTTAATAGGGTGTAGGAATGTGTGTTACGTGAAGATTGCCGAATCCCGTGCTTGTCGGATAGTTGCTTCTCTGTTAGGACCGCAGGGCGCGGTCTAACAGAAGAGCTGCGTTGCCACGCACGACATGTGGCATACTACGGAGTATATAGGCTGATATAGGGGACATGTCAATGTCATCAGGCACAGCTATTTGAGCTGCTCCGCTATGACTGGTGTTTATTTTTGTCTGCGAGGGAGGGAGGTGAGGAAGAGAAAGAATATCTTGATTACTTGCCTCAGTCTGTGCAGAGGTAGGGTAGTTTTTCGGGGCGGGTTGGGGCGGATTCTGGGGGTCCCCCAAAAACATGACTTGTTTTAGATATTTTGTTAGATAATTGTATCTTGTATATTCATAGATCTATATCGCGAAAAGTGGTTAAGTTATCAAGCTTTAAGGTTGGTGTTTTTCACCATATCATGATATTCCATGCTGCTAAAAACCCCAGGACCAAGCATATCGTGATTAGCACTTTTACTTGATTATCAACTACTACAGCAATACAGGTTGATCAACGCTGGGAATTTTTGTGACACGAGTAAAAATATCAGCTAAATCCTCAACTTGTGGTCGATCTGGTTTACCAACGCCAGCTCGCGGATTGCACTTTGTGAGAAACTAGTCTCAGAGATGCCTTAACCGGGTGCTTCTGCCTCCTAGAGCTTATATTAGAATACGAAGGGTATTCTAACAGTCTGCTAGATACAATAAATTGATTATTCAACTTTTTTTGTATCCCAAGCTCCTTTCTGGCCAGATATTCACTGGCGCTCGCAACACTTGTAATTGGAGTACGGATGTAGATTGGCTTTATTAGATCTAGGATAGCTCACTAGACTGAAATGAGACCGACAAAGTCTATATATCTGTGGCCCTACATCCACTTGTCTACACCGTACTCACTTCTCTCTTTGTGTACTGCCACCGTAATGGCCACATATCAGTACAACCTACCATGATAATAATGAGACAAGCAGCTAACACCATTTCATAGCAAAGCTTAAGATCTTTTCTAAGATAAATCTGTGTTCTCTTTAGTAGCATCACAGGCTTATCCAGCAAAATAGGATTGTTGGGTTAGATTATAATATTAAGTGTAATTTTAAAGATAGAACTTATCTTAGAACTCTAATATCTGTAACAAGACTGGTAACTTACTAGTCCCATATTTTTCTTATTCATATGTGATTTAGTATCTATTTGCTTCGATCTTCATCTAGATGAATATCCAAGAACTATCTGAGCCCCAAACAATCTGACACTCATCATGATGCTTCTAAGCAAATAATCCAGTACATACGACCATAGGGTGTGGAGAACAGGGCTTCCCGTCCGCTCAGCCGTACTTAAGCCACACGCCGGCCGGTTAGTAGTATGGTGGGTGACCACATGCGAATCCCGGCTGTTGTATGTTTTTCTTTTTGTATATTATTTGTATCTTTGGATTAATGTCTTTTTGATTCAAGAACCTCACTCAAGTTGTGTTGTTCATGTGGTTATGGGGTCGATCCAATAATCGTGGTTAATCCCACCTAAGTAAACCTAATCGAAACATCACCGCTCTATTAGGCTACCGAGTCAATGACATTGCCACCAACGTCGCGCATGCACGTCTCTAAAACAAGCTTAAATCGAATTCTATGGTCCTAGACTGGATTGATGCGCTCTACTCGGCGAATATGGACGTGCATTTCGATCCAGCCAGTCCCTCGTGATAAAAAGCAAGGTTACAATCTGGCATGCTAGCGTTAGATCAAGACCTAGGCCACAAACGCCCTGCAAACGGCGGAAGCTCTTTTCGTTGAACGTTAAGATTAATATTGTCTAGGAAGATCTGCTCTATTGTCATCACTTCATTTCACGCCCCTCCCTTTCTCCCCGATCCCCATTGTGGGAGACAAGAGAATCATAGGAGCTTTACCAGGGCTCTTGGCTGCCGTCGTGCTTGAACAGCTTTCCACTGTGGGTCTTCAGCGTAGAGGCGTCAATCAGCTTAACAACACCTGTACAGCTCTCATCGATGGTAAGAGCGGCCTTCTCAAATCCAAAGTAATCAGCACCTCGGTTGCCAATGGCGGTCTGGACCCAGCTATTACGATGAAACGGTTAGCGACCTGCGAGGCAAGTAGACGCCTCAATATCCGGCGATGCTCACCCAGGGTCCACAGGGAAGGCGTTCAGCCAAGGATCTTCCGCAGAGATTGCTTTGGTATACCAGTGCTGAACGAGTTTGGTGGGGGCGTATGCAGCATTTTGCATTGGGATGTAGTTACTGGAAATGGTTAGATTCGGGGCAGGGCCTTTTCTCTTGCTTTCAAACTCACTACATGCAATGTTAGCAATGGTCTCGTGTCATCGGTCTTAAACAATCATGGGAAGACATACCGCCAGGAATGCGGAACCCGACCCAATAGTCACCCACTTGGGCTCCTTGGCCTCCTTGAGAACCGGTCGGAAGGCCTGGTAGAGCCGAATGAAACCGTAGAGGTTGACATCGACATGCTGCTGAATTTCGTCTACCTTGACTTCCGCAACCTTGGGCCAGGTGAGAGCGATACCAGAATTGGCGATAAGGATGTCGATGTGGTTGATCCCCTTGGCGGCCAGCTCCTGCACGGCGGCAACCTGGTCGGTAGGAGAGAGGGCATCGATCTTGACAATATGCAAAGTGGTGCCTTCAGATTTGGGTAGGGACTCTAACTCCTTCGAAGTCGGGTGGCTAGGATCGCGGTTTGCAGCGATCACAGTGTGATTAGGCTTCTGGAGGTACCGCTCCAGGATTCCCTTTCCAATGCCGCGGTTGGCACCGGTTATGAGGACAATGGTGGGAGCCATGGTCTTTGTAATTGGGGAAAGGGGTTTCGATTTTGTAATTGAGGCTTGAGAACGCGCAAGAAATGCAACGTGAAGAGTGTAAAGCACAAGGCTCGGCGATGAGACGGAGATGAGACAGGCGCAAGGTTGATTGGTGACAATACAATCTTGCTATCAAATTGAAAGACGCGCACACCAACGAGTATTTATTACTGCTGCGCGCCTGGAAAATTTCGCTTACCAACTAGCTGATCAAAGCTTGCTAATCGCCGCTGTGTCATAATATGCGATAGTCTCCGAGATTCGGGCATCCTCGAGTGTGTTCCAGAAGATCACGCCATCAGGAGCGAAGCAAAGACGGGTTTCCGACGGCCTGTGCCGAAAGCAACAAGGTTCTAGTCTATGGTTGGTTGTATTGTTACTGCTTACTGCTCGCTTGGACCTGTAGAGAGAGACATGATGCAGGGTCAGCGCTAATGCGGGACCTGAAATTAAGCAGCTAGAAGAAGCAACGGGCATCATCGCCCCGGCTGGCTAGGGCTCAGGATTAGCCTCGTATATATTGTGAACTCATTGATAATGAGTCACTTGGTGATTTGACTACTCCTTGGGACCCCAAGAGTGTTGCATAGTGTATTAGGGTCTAGGAAAGCGTATTGTGCGGAGAGCGCCAGATCCTACGCTTGTCAGACGATCGCTTGGCATGATTCTTCGGCCTTGGAGGTGATCCATCCAGCCGCCGATGCATATATTGAGAGTTGAATGAACTGATCTAAAAATACTTCTCTTTGATATATATGCCATTAACAGCATTTTGGGTTGCCAGGCTACGTTATTCAGCTGTGAACGCAAGTAAACTTTTTGACGCACTGGCTATGCAGCACAGAATGGAAGTAAAAGGGCGAGGGAGCCAGGAAGCTTCAGAAAATTCTATACATACAAGGTTGGTCCTGTTCTCATGTTATCTTGTTGCTTCGAAAAGCCTCAGGCATACTGTCAGCCAAGGCTAATCCGGCGCATAGCGAAGCCCTTGAGCCCTAGGAATCCAAGCGATCGCGAAATTTATCGGGCTAGAGCTGGAGCAAGTCGAGCTGCAGCCGGCAAACGGCGTCCCTGAATACTACTGGGGCCTGAACCCGCTGGGGAAAACACCGACGTTTGTCGGCGCGGATGGACTGGTTTTGACAAAGTGTATGGCAATTTCCCTGCACGGTACGTTACCCTCACTCGCATTTATGTATGATGCTTTGCTTTGGGATATTCCCAATTGAGTTCAATATAATATTATTCGCGAGAGCAGTAACCAACGAAGACTCCACGGCCACCCTCCTCGGAAGCACCTCCCTCGACTTCATCCAGATCATCCGGTGGATCTCGTTCACCAACACTGATGTTGTCAGCCGCATGGCAGCCTGGGTGCGACCATTGACTGGCTATACGCCCTATAGCAAGGAAGGAGTACACATGATGGTCATGCATTTGCCCTTCATGAAGGCAAGTGTGAATGAGGTGCCGTTTGCCGAGACGGGATTGCTGAATGCACCGCCAACAGAGCCGTTCAATACGCCTTAGAGATGAAAAGTGGATGTACTGTAGTTCAATATTCTTAACGGCTACGCCAAAATACTGAGCAGCACTTTAGTTTAGAGCTTGACGTAACTGCTATCTCCTACATACCTTGGACTGATCGTTAAGCTGAGCAGGAATCTTTCACCAATTTGTACTATGTGATGCATGCGAGACACTTCCTCTGTATGTAGTTTCTAGTCTAGGGTTCACTTTGTGCATGAGGTGTCTGGATACACAGGATATTCATTTGACCAGGTCTATAATTTTGCTTATTGATTGCTTGCTAATGTAAGGTACGAATCCATTCCACAGCAATCCAAGATTGCGTTTATAGGTATCTATCGGCGCACTGACTCATCCATCAAACCCTCCGTATGACCCCAAACCAACTCAGGTATCCCCTGTTCCCGATACTGCGCCATCACTTTGGTGCTGGGTCTAACCTCTCCCTTCCAATTCAGCAGATATGCACCACTTCCGGTTTCACCCTTAGTGCCCGTCGCTACATCCCCGGTGTCCAGCACGACTCCTTGGGACAAATGTCCTTGCTTGGCTGGGTAGCGTGCGGAGCTCAGATGGAACAAATGGCGGTCGCCACTTTCGCGGAGATTCACGGAAAAGGGCCACATGAGAGGCCACATTCCGTAATTGTAAAATGACGAAATTGGTGCAGGGAAGCTGTTGGTGTAGATGTTGGTGCCAACCAGACCAGGATAGGCGTGGATGAAACTGACGGCCGGGTGGGTGGTCGCGAGGTGTTCCATGCTTAGGGTTGTCATGGTAATGGAGTGCCTGTAGGCGTTGAGCAGAGAGAAGTTGTGCTTGAGGTCGAGGTCGGAGGTATCAATAGAGTACTCGAAGCCGCCGCCGTAGACGCTGACCACCCGGCTTGGTCCAGACGATGACTCCAGCAGTGGGAGGAGGTTCTGAATGAATCGCATGCGGGAGTAATAGCGGAGGGCGAAGAGGTGGTCTATGCCTTCGATGGTTTCTAATATCCTTTGGTCAGCTCGTGATACTTTCTCTGGAATAATCTATGATTGCATACCCTTTCGCCCCCCCAGAGAGATCCCCCCTGGGGTCATAAAAAGAAAGTTCAGCTGCTTCTCCTGCTGGAGAATGGGCCGGCATGCGGCATCGACATTGCGCAGTAGCGATACATCGGCCTCGATGAAATGGAAACGGCCTTTGGAACTCAATTGTTGCAGTTCAGACAGGAACGGACGAGCGCGAGCTTCGTTGCGACCGATAATGTAGGCTGTAGGGCTGTCGGCGTGACATGCCAGTTGGCGCAGGGTACTTTGGCCGATGCCGCTGGTACCACCAACAAAAAGGGCAGTTATGTTGGGGAAGGCCCGGAGACCAGCGTTGGATGCTCGGACTGCCTTGAGAGATACCATTTTGCAGATGTCAATGAAAGAAAAACAAAAGCCACTGGAGGGCTTGGGCGATTATTTACATTGCATCCCAGGCAAGCCACATCGGTGATCCCCCGCCGAAGGATCAACAAATGCCGGACCGGGCGATCCCTCCCGTCGTCATCACCAACAGCGCGCCACTCGTGTGCATCATTTATTAGTCCTGGAATGCGCGGAGTTATCGTGCTGGAAAATATGACTGCGATCAGTATAGCAATCCTTTACCCATCTACAATCTCTGAGCCATGATTGATGCAGCGTCGACCCCCGGAATTGACGCGGTGGTGAATTACTACGTGCCCAACAGCGATGGGTCTCCGCCAACCACCAACGACATGGCCGTCATGCTGGGCGAGAAGGACATGATCTCTCACAAGATGCGGATCCGTGATCTACGCTCCTATAAAGAGCACTATTCGCTGGATCTGAACGGGTTTCAGTACGCGACGCTCCAGTCCGAGCTCACGGATCCCACCGACGAAAGCCAGATCAAAGAGGTCTACTACCGAGAAATTGAGAAACTAGTGCAAGACGTGTGCGTACCTTTTTTATGGGCTTCCACTTCCGTTTCAGTTTAATTTCTGCCGCAGAACCGGTGCCAAGCGTGTGCTCGCCTTCAACCATGCCGTTCGCACCAAGATCGGTAATGAGTACGGCGAGCATATCGAAGACCGCTACCAGGGTCTCGAGGGCCCCGCGTATCGGGTGCACGTTGACCAAATGCCCCAAGGCTCTCTCAGTATTGCGCAGTTTATGTTTCCCGATCTCGCCGACGAGGTTCGCAACGGCAATTTCCAGGTGATCAACGTCTGGCGCCCGTTGAGTCGTGTGCAGCGAGACCCCCTATTGGTGGCCGATACCGCCGAGATGTCGCCAGACGACTTGCTTCTGATGAACCGGAAATATTTCAACGGGCTGGAATTGTCCAACTTTGTCGTTAAATATGATGGCCGGCCGGCGACCGGCGAGGGCCCGACGGATGGATTGAGCAGGGATGGGAAGCATAGCTGGTGGTATATTGGGGACCAGGAGCCAACCGAAGCCCTGATTTTCTCCTCTTCGGGCTTCCGAAATGGAAAGGCAATCATTGGCACCGCGCATGGTGCGTTCTGTTTACCCGATCAGGATCAATACCCAGCTCGTCAGAGCATCGAGTGTCGGTGTATTGCCATCTATTGATGGATAATTTACGAGGCCTTGGGCGATTGAGAGAGAGAGAGGTGATGTAAAGATAAGAGAGTAATAATACTAGCAGGCTATCTAAATCTCCTTATATGAAACTAAAACTATGATTCTTAGTTTATCAGCTTTATTTTAGCTTTGTCACAGACCCAGAAACAAGAATCAATCATCTACTGACATATTGGTGACAACTCATGTGGCTACCAATGCTAGCCGATGCTCTAGGCCAATCCTTTCTCGAATCGGATACTGATAAAGCCCAAGGTGAGCCATAGTGTTCTTTTCCCCGCTCACCCTCTCACCGACGACATCGCCTAGCAGCTTCATGCGCATTCCGGGCCGAGCTGCGCAAGAAAACCGCGTCACAAAAGGAACATCGCAGCTTAGCTGATTCCCCCCTTCGCTCCCGCTGATGTCGGATCAAGTTACTTCGATTAGAAAATAATCGGCCATTGCAACAGGGTTTCCAACAGCGGCATGGCTCGGACTTGTCGGACCCTGGTTCTCGGAGGGAGGCAGAATTGTCTGGTTGAGTGGTGGGGTCGATGGGTTGGGAATCTTGGTTGGGATCACTGGGGGGAATAAATCAGAATCAGTGATAGTCTGTAAGTGCAGTTAGAGTTGTGTTGATGAGAGAATGCTTACCTGGGAGACTGTAGCTCTTGCAAGACTTGTTGAAGACGCCGAAGTTCCGAGACGAGTTGTGTTTTGGATATTGTACTCGATGCTGCGCTCTGATCTGGGCTGGTCATCCCTATCCCCACTCCCGTTCCCCTGGATAAACTAGTGATACCACTGGAAGGTAACATGGCTTCATTTTGGAAGAGACCCCAAGCTTCACTATGATAGCGTATTAGCAGCTTGCCTCTCATTGCGATCACGGGGTCCGTACCGATATGTGGCCATTTTGGTAGGGCGATATGGTAATAGACAATCACACTGTGGACAAGAAAGATCAGTACACATACGCGTGAAGTGAGTACGGTGTAGACTAGCTGACGTCGGGCGGGGCCAAGTCGTATAGTCTTTGTCTGTCTCATTTTGGCCTAGCTGGCTATACTGTATGAATTATTAATATTGACACCGGGTAATAGAAATCTCTTTGGGACGAACAGGGTCTTACATGGTTGACGATCAAAAGAATTTAATTCAGGATAGAACTGAAGTATTAAACAAGTTATAACAAAGACATTCCCTGTAACTTGATGTACTCCGTAGATTATGCCTCATAGTCAAGTAACGATTGCAGAAGACACTTCAATATCAAAATCCCTGAAGTAGATCATTAGGAAGAAGATTAATGTACCCGATTTTAATGATCCTATTATTGATCATATATATCTACAATAGTTTGATCATTCAGATTCCGGGTGCCTGTAGATCTCCATTTGCACTTGAGCATAGGTCTTTTATATATAAAAAAGCCGCACGAGTCCCCACGAGTCCTCTGGCCTCGACAGAAACAGGAGAAAGATCTGATTCCAGGTCTCATAAGCCACCATTCTGTTGCTCTGCACTCAATCCTAGTTGGGAGTATATCATTGATTTCTATATCATGACTAACTACGTGCTGTTTTTTTGATTGGTCACAATTAGTCTCTGGGATTCGGGTGTTCAACGTAAAATTTGACTTGTCATAATGCCCGTTAGTGAACTATATACTATGAGCACACTAGGGTACATGTAAATAAACATAGCATTTGTCTCTAGCACTTACAACTCACCACTATGTCAGACAGAAACCATTCCTTCTTCCGCGCAATGATGATGCTCTTTTTTATTATGACCTTACTGGATTGCCATAGTCAGGGAAATAACGTAGTAATCACCTCCGAAACCACGTCCTCAAGACTGTCCATCTAGATGAGAACATGAAGATCAATAACACAGCCAATACCCTGCTGACCACGACAGACACCACTCAGGGTCTCTTTCAACCAACAATTAACTAGTTAGTCACCTAAGCAACTAGTTCCCTCATTCATTTCATGCAATTGAATCACCGCGCTTAGAAACTGTTCCTCACTGGCCAGGCTCTTTACCCAAGATATTCCAAAAAAGCCCGGCCGTCCAACCTGATTTTACTCCAGTCCAGGTGTCAGCATGGAGGGAAATGTGCAGTGCTTTTAAGGAGCATTTTTCTTCAACCAGCTTTCAATCGCTCCTCCTCTCTTCATCCCTTTTGATCGTTTGCTCTCTTGTCTGACCAGGTTTACAACATGCGTCCGTGGAGCTCGGGAGTAAATTCACCTTTGTCGTCACCCGACGATGAAGGCGTGGAATCAGGGGACGTTAGCATGGAAGAAGAGCAGCAGCAATTGCAGCAGAAGCAGGCTCAGTACCAGAAATCGTGAGTAAAACGCATAAAAGCCAATGAGCTTACCCACCCGTTTTATTTACCAAGTTGTTCGACTCGACAGCAATAATTTGAGAGCATGCCAGCCATGCCGTGCCTCTAAAGTAAGATGCGACCAGCCTAACCCTGGCATGCCGTGTCTCCGGTGCCAGAAATCAGGCAAGTCTTGCATTGACGCCGCGAGCCAACCAGGGAAGAGACACCGCCAATTCAACAGTCGAATCCTAGAGATGGAATCACGAATTGAAATGATATTGTCCTCCGCAGAATTGCAGGAAAGTGCTGGGGAAAACTCCCGGACGACCGTGGATGCCGCCCCATCCAGCCCTATCCGCTCGCCTTCAGAATGGTCGCACAACACCCAACAACATGATCGGAACTCATCCATGGGATCCGTGATACCGTTCAATGGTGAGTTCTCTTCTCCGGAACCAGTCCGGAAGTCGCGAGTTACATTCCACTAACATGGCCAACCGTCCCGTCTGCCCGGGTAGGCAGTCCATGGATGGAAGATCTTAAGTCTAGCATACAATCATGGCTGGATGACAACATCACGGATCTTGATGATCGTACCACTGAAACAATATTCAGTCGTTATTTGACCAACATGGCATCCAGATTCCCGGTCGTCGTTTTTCCGCCAGGCACCACGGCGGCCGACGTCCGAAGTAATAACCCTGTTCTTTTTCTGGCGATTCTCGACGTGGCCTCGTCGGGATTCTGTGCACTTGAAACTCAGAGGAAACTCCGGAAGGTCATTGTTAAGGCGTATGTGCATTGTATGCTCCGAACCGAACAGTATACACTCGGATTGCTCCAGGCCTTGATTGTCTCGGCCACATGGTATCGCACGACTGAGCCCGTCGAGCCTGGGGAACAGATGGACATCTACCAGATTAGTCACACAGCAGCCAATATGGCCTTGATCATGAGATTGGGGGAGAGTTTGAGCGCCAAACCTTGGGGTGGCTCCATGTTTCCCCGGCGGGAGAAGAACAAGGGCCCTGGAAGCGCCTTCCAGGCAGGGTCGCTGCAAGCTCGGCGAGTGTGGCTAGGGTGTCATTATATTTGCTCCAAGTACGAGAGAAGGCAATGTATTCCCAAAACAGCGCCGCAGAGTTAACCTTGTTTTTGTAGTACTTCCATGTCTCTTCGCGCCCCGAACGTTATGAGATGGACCCGTCTGATGGACGAATGCCTGGGGGTATTGGAAACATGCCCGGCAGCTCTTCCGTCGGATAGGCTTCTTTGCCAGCACATTCGGCTGCAGCATATAACCGAAGAATTTGCGATGCATCTGTCATCGGAGGAGACTTCTGCCCCGGGGAAATCACGAGCGAATCAAATCCAGGTGACCCATCGTGCGTTCAAACGACAGCTCAGCGAATGGCGTAGGAACTTTGCGGATGGTTGGGACGGTAACTTCTCCCTTTTTCCTTCTTGATTTGTTTAGCCAAGCGATTGACACGCAGTTGTAAAGATTCTCTCGAGTTTTCGTATCATTTCTCATGCTTGTACATAAACGAGGTGGCCCACTGCGCAGCGATGAATGATGGTGTTCCCGGTGAAGATAACACCGAGCGCTCGGCGCCACCTTCACAAATCGTGGTAATCGAGTCGCATGCAATTGCCGAGTTCATAGAAACGATAGACAACATCTTTCGGGTGTTCACGTCCCTGGACATGTCGACCATTCGGGCCCTACCAGCGATGTACCTGATCCGCATAATCTACACGTTCATCATCCTAGTTAAACTACACTTCGCAGCAGCCAAACTACCGCCTCAAGATGCCATGCTGCAAGTCGACCGACTCCGGGTCTCTGAGCGCCTCAATAGCGTCATCCAAATGACCGCGGGATGGGGCTCTCTGTGGCCCGCTACGAAACTGACTACCGTGTTCATCAGGATGCGCTCATGGTTGGAAAGGGGAGACGAGGGCAATCGCCAGAGGTTGCAGCAGGCCGGTTCGTGGCTCACCGCATGGGAGCTTAAACCTCCGTCGCCGGGGTCCAAGGACGTGGATACTATGGCCTTTCCACTTGAACCACCACCTCTCGGTATTGGCTTCCCGATAGCCCCTCCACCTTTCCAGACCATGGCCCGGGCTACCGAATCTCGTTTTCCTCGGAAGGCAGGCCCCGATTTGATGGCAGACGAGGATGCTCCGCTTGCGGCAGGCCAACGTCTCGGTGACCTTCTGGATATAGATCAGATCGACGACGACACTTCGTACATGGGTATGGACTGGAGCCAACTCTCACAGATGGGCCTTGACTTGTACAACTTAGACGCTCCATTCTCCCCAATTTCTCCCAGCTTTGATTCTGACGCAGCCATGAAGGAGCATTTCTCCGATAGAAACAAATGATCACAATGAATGTGTTGATATGGACCGTTCCACACCCGTAATATTCACTCCAGCTAAATCATAGACATATATAGGCAAGACACAGTCCAAAATCTACCACAGGAATTTGTCAGCCTGCGGGAAGTTCCCATGTAAATAACATGTCAGGTCTATCTCGATATTAGATAGCTAGCTGGTAGCATTACATACTAGAAGGGTCTCTTGTGGTTCTCTTGACCACTTGTTCATGGAAGGTACATGAATATTGACATGTTAATACTAAGAGGGCTTAGTATTTTGAAGTTGGCAAAGGGCAGCCAATGGTCACCTAATATAGCATATAATTCTTCTAGAAGCATTTCAAATGATTAATATTTGCATGATGCTGCATGACATCGGGCGATGGCTCCCTCTTGTCTATAGGACTCTTATACTCGCTTTGACTCAGCTTGAAGACAGACACATCAAACTACCATCCGTAGTGAAGCCACACGCTGGCTGATTAGCGCAGTGTGTTTGGTGGCTACACACATAAACTGATTTGTCTCTATAGAATTTTCTCTTTCTTTTGTTTCCGAATCTCTGTGTAAGATTTTGGTCATCATTATCATCATGGGGCTTGTTTCAATGACCCTGGTTGATCCAAAATCCCCACGTAACCCTAATACTGTGATATAAGGGATGTAAACGCGCCAGAAAGGATGAAACTGATGATAATCAAAATTATAGAAAAGGTTGCTTGATGGTTGAAAATACAAGATGGAAGAGAGTGGGAAAAGGACTCTGCAAACGCTGCAGGTCAGCTGACAAGCCAACATATTGCAGTCACTTCCACAAATACCAGATAGATACCAACACCAAAACTCAGCATGAATCTTCATGTGCCATTAGATTATGTGTAGGTAAAGTGCAATCTGCTCCTTCCTTCCATAGGTACATACATCCATATATCCATCTCCATCTCCATTGGCATCCCCAACTTCATCTCCATCTCCATGTACAGACAAAAGTAAAAGTGCAACTAGGCGGTGATGTGTGTTCATTTGCTCGTGAATAGTAAGGGCTTCGTGACGTCGATAAGAAAAAGAAACACGGAAGAAAAACCATAAAAGGGGAAAATGTGACTTGCGCAAAAAGAAAACCATAAATCAATGAACTCAGAAAATGCATCGAATCGTCATCCTATCCGGGAGTTGGTTTCCTCCAGACAAGGCTGGGTATTATTCATGTAAGCTAGTTCGGCAATTGCTACCGCCTTCGACGGTCCCGTCTGTCATATAGTCCTTCATCGCCCTCGTCTTCTTCCTCCACCGGTGCCGGAGTGCGTCGTTCAGTGCGTCGCTTGGGGCGGCGCCGTCGGCTGGAGCTAATATTACTGGCCGAGTCATCCGGGGCTAGGGAGTAGGTGTCGTCGAGGAAGTCGTCTTCGGTGCCGCTTTCCCATCCATTGAGGGCTGACGCGGGCGTGCCCATCCGCGCTTCTACGTACGAGCCGCGGCGGTTCTGATTGGCGACGGACAGGCCGGCTCCGCGTTGGCGTAGAGCCAGACGCACGGACTCGGCTTTGCAATGTAGCACCTCGAATGCGTCTTCAAGTGCTTCCATGCCGAGGTAGATGTCGCGTTCGATTTCGGCGAGCGCGGCGATTTCCTGCTCTTCGTCGAGGACGATGGGTCCGCCGGAGGCGGGTGACGAGGAGCTGCCGACTGGCTGGCTGGCTGAGCGGAAGGTGCCGTCCATGTGATTGGGGGTGGGTCCCCGTGAGATTCCCCCGGTGGTGAAGGGGGTGTTGGCCCTGCTGTTGCTCCAGCGGGGAGACCCATGTGAAGGGACAAAGGTGTCCTCGGCGCCGCTGCGGAGGAATCCGTCGAAACGGCCGGAGATGAGAATGTCCCACTCGTCGTCGCTGATGGCCGCGAGGGTTGCTATTACGTGGTGGATACCCGGATTATTGAGCATGTAGATGGCGGTTTCGGGGTCGCGGGGGAGAGACGCGAGGCGGTACAAGCGTTGAATGGCCAAGGACGAGGACACTAGCAGAGGTGGTCGCGGGCGAGGCTCGCCGTCAGGGCGAGGAGTGGGTGTTGCGGAGTTGATTCCGAGGAGGGAGCAGAAGAGCGGACGCTGCTCGGGCCCCAGATGGGTGAGCATGGCAAACGTCAATGTCTCATCGTCTACCCCGTCGGGCGCGCTCGACCCCTGTCCGGTTTGCTCGTTGAGCCACTTGTCCACCGCCACCTTGGTCTTGCGGGACTGGCGCATGTAATGTTCCCGGTACTGCTCTGGAACATCGATGTCCATCTTCTGCATCGGAATATGCTCGTCACCGGACAGTTCTGCACCGTCCACCGGCATCGTCATGGTGAAGGGCGGCCAGCCGGGCAGCTCGCGGCGTCCCGAGACAAGCTCGAGAACCTCGCCCCAGCTCACTCCGGTAGGCGGCTCCTCCATCCCGTTATGCTCGCACATGAAACATCGACACGATTCCGACGAGATGTCACGGGCAAAGACAGCCTCCAGCCGATCTAGCAGACGGCGTGCCACCGACCGATACCCCGTCGCAACGGCTAACGAGCCATTTTTCGCCATCACATGGTGGAAATCGTCCAGAAGCCGCGTGAATGGGTCAAAGATAGTGGCAGCAGCAGACTGCGGTTGGAAGCTCTGGTAAGGCGGTGGGTCTGGGGCATCCGCGCCCATCAGGAGTGTTCTCGGCACCCGGCGGTTCAGGCCGCCATGCTGAAGCAGATAGTCCACCCTTGGGATGGTCACCGGCATCTCTGGCGGGGGTGGAGGCGGGGGAGGAGCGTCGAACGTGGAGCTCGCAGTCGGGGGTCGGCCGTAGTCTCCAGCGATGTCGACCGCGGGGCGGCTGGCGGGACGATTAGACATGGACGAACGGTTCTGGGTGCGGGACGGTGGCTTTTCAGGACTCTTGTGCTTCCGCCGATATGTCGCGTTGATGGTGGCGTCCGAGCCGTTTGCTGAGTCAAAGCTGGTATCATGGACAGGCGCTGGGGATCGAGGAGGCGTGGCCGTGCGGCTGCTGGGTCGCTTCGGGTCCTCGAAAATCTTCGACTTCATTGAGTTGCGACTGGCCGTGCGGGGAGGCTCTTCCTTGTCCTGGCTCGACCTCTTCGACTTGGTGGGCGTGTCAGCGCGGGCGGTCGTGCTCGACTTGGTCCCATCGTCTTTCTTCGCCCGTAGACTCGACGACGACCGGTTCGCATCTGTTCGGATACGGATCTTGGTTTTCCCATCCTTCGCCTTCTCCTCCGCCCCTTTGTTCTCTTTATCCCCGACCGAACTACTCTTGCGCGAATGCTGGTCCGTGCTCGTCAACGGTGGGCTTGGAGGCGCATGGTGGTTGTCCGAGCGGCGGGGACGTTCTTCCTTGGCATCGTTGCTGCGTTCGGTCAGATCGGTCGGATCGGGGGTGGGGATTCCCGGTCGGCTAACGGCCTCTTTGCTATGGGCCTTGGAAAAATTCGGATACGGCAGACTGGTCCTCGACTCCAGGAACGAGGCCGTGCTGGCGCCGGGGTTGTCGACGTCCGGCATGGAGGAGCGACGCTTCTTGCGGGACTTGGAGGCGGATGTGGAAGGGGTCGAGGAACGGCCCGTGGGGTCGTCGAGATCGTGTTCCTTGGTTGAGGTGCGGCTGGGGCGTCCGTGGATCGAGTGGTGTTTTCGGCTCTTCGATTTGGAGGAGGTCGACGATGACGATGCTTTACGCTGGCGGTCCCTGTCGCGATCTCGGTCATTTAATCTCAACGGTAGAAACATGACGTGGAATGGTTCAAGCGAGGTGGACGGGAAGAGGGGCTGAACGACGACCAGCTAGTGATCGGTTCTTCCGAATTCTTTAATTCTTGTTTCCCACCCCTTCTTCCCCTAGTGTCGGTTCGACCGATTTGTGACGTTCTAATTACCTCAGAGATCAAAAAGCAATGGAAAAAGAAGAATCAATCAATCGAGCGATCGATTAGGTAGCGAGTTGCAGGAGACGGCAAGTCATCCAGGTGACCTGATCTGAGAGGCCCCGATCGATCGGATGCTCTGGCGCTTAGAGACACAGAACAAACTGAGATGCGAATCTCACTGGTCGATAGGTCACGAAGGTGCTTATGTCAATCCACTGAAGGACGGTCCGCAAGAGGGCTGCGACATGCCGTTGCGACGGAAGCAAGTCAAAAAAAAAAAAAAAAAAAAAGGTAAAATCCAAACCCAAATTGAAAAAGGAATAGTAGACGAGTCACAGGAGACAAAGAAGAAGATCAGGCACGATGCATGAAGGGAGAAGAGAGATGGAGAAGAGGCCTGCCTAGTCGACTCGGGGAGGGGGGTTGGTTTTGCGGTGAGAAAAGCGACTGGAGACTTCTCCGCAGAAACAATCGACCTGGTGCTTTTCTTGTGTTTCCGATTTCTTTTTTTAGTCAAGAAGAACCGCCTTGACTCGTAGTTTAATTAGTTTGGTCAATGAGCGATCGAGGATCGTGGCATGGGTGGGACCACTCCAGGCGAGGCCCTGGGTGCATGGAAACCCAATGAAGAGGGGGGAGAGAGTTGATTGTGGGCTTGCGTTCCTCGAGTAACAGACGAGATGGGGATGAGACTGCTTCTCTAAGACGATCCAATAATGCTGATCAGATGGAAGGTTGATTGAAGATGCAAGGAGAGGGAAAGATGGAATTCAGTGAGAGAAATCGAGATCGAGACTAAACACTTGGACACCTCAGGCAATGAACACGCTGCGGCCTAAGGCGCGGGGCCTGTGCCTTATGGAGATCGATGATATGTACGGCAAGCCATTGCGGCCACTCTGTAATAATTAGAAATTTCACTAAGTTAGTTAACTGCTGCATTAACTGCCTTTCTAATTAATTTAAATTAAAGCTATATAACTCTACTAGCTTAATTTATATAAATAAATTAGAAGATTTAAAGATAAGAAATTTACTCTATCTCTTTTATTTTCTTTTACTAATTATCATGCCTGGTAGATATAGATAAGTTAATCTTAAGCTATATAAGAATTATATTCTTTCTCTTTATTCTTCTTATACTTCTATTAATTCTATTTATATTTTTCTTAAGAAAAGATATAAAATTATTATTAATAAGTATATACTTAAAAGCTATCTTAAAAATTAGAATATATATAGGTAGAATTATATAATCTATTCTAATTCTCTCTTATATACCTGGATACATGTTCTCTTTTTTTAAGTTAGATTAAAAGATAAAGAGCTTCTATCTATACTTTAAAAAGAAGAATTTTTAATTTAGAGTTATATACTATACTATATATAGGAATTACTTAGTCTTTATTAATATACTAAAGATTCTTTTTATTTATAACTTTAAGTCTAGTAGATACTGTAGTTTTTTATATAAGAAGCTAAAAAAAAAGTAATTCAAGACTATAAAAAAGAGATTCTTTACTAGTATACTTATAGTTAAGACTTAATTATTAGATAATATAAGACTCTTTATCTTCTTTATATAGTTATTAATAAAAGCTAGTAATTAGCTTTTTTTTTATTATAGAATTATTTTCCTTGATACTATTTAATATCAGATATATAATTTATAATAAAAATATAAAGAATACTATATACCTGGATCTAATTAGATTTAATTAGTAGATAACTATCTTAAATTAGAGCTATACAGGATTAAAATTTATATTAGAATTAATATATACTCTTAGTATATTATATAGTTTTATTATAAGATTATTATATATATAGTAATTAGTATTATATATTAGTATCTAGATATAGTTCAAGCTATATAAATATAATTATTAAGAGTTTGCTTAGATTATAGCTTAGAGATAATACTTTTTAAAATTACTTATTTTAAGCTTTAATATATATAAGAGCTAGTTATCTAAGCTTCTAATTATTAGATCTCTAACTAGAGTATAAAGAATTAAAGAATTAAGACTTGATAGAAATAGTTATTTAAAATAGCTTTATTTAAATAATAAGTAAGTATTCTAGTCTATTATATAAGCTTAATATTAATATTATTAGATCTATTTTTCTTTTTTAAAGAATAAAGATATCTTTATTAAAGAATCTCCTTCTAATTAGATTACTTTATATACTATTTTTCTACCTCTTATTTATATAGAGATGTGTT